GATTTGCATAATTAGTGAAAATCATGTGCCACCGAAGAAAATCAATTGCTAGCAATTATCTTAATTTGACAAAATTGAAGGAATGGGATTTAATTTTTGGGACATGTGTTTCAATCTTTATTTATTTATTTATTTATTTTAAAGAGCAAAACACTCGTAATAATACTGTGAAAATTTCTTTCTACGCTAAGCGACAAGGAAAAATTATTAGAATTTTTATCCATTTGTAGCCACTAAGCGACAAGAAAAAATTAGAAGCTTACGCCTTAGGGTTTGTCAGATTTTAGAATGCATGAGCTGGGGCAGTCAATGGTAGTTACATGATTTTGCTTTTCTAAGGGATGACTTATAATATATATATATATATATATATATATATATATATATGGAAAGTAATCAACTTAAATTAATGTAAATTTTTTTATTTTTTTAATTATTAATATTAATAGATTCAAAAATGAGATTAAATTATTTTTTTTTTTCATCTTTTAAATTTATTAAAATTAATGATTAATTTTTTAGTCTTTTTAGGATTTCTCTTTAGGGTTTCCCTCTTGGAGTAAGTTAGTCTTGTTTGGCTACAAGGGAGTTATTGCCTTAGAATTAATCTGAGCTATAATCCTTGAGGGGTAATTAGTTTTCTTACGCAACATTGGGGAAAGGTAGTTTTATGTTGGAACGATTGTGTGTCAATAGTTAGGAGTAATAGCAAGAAGAGGGTGGAAGATGTTATGGATTCATTATGGAAAAGCTTGAAGTAAATAGAAGAGGAGAAAGAGTATGCGTTTTCTGATGGAGGTGATGGTGGCAATGGGGTTGATAAGGGGAGAACATAGCTAATGGGGATGGCTAATTGAAAACTGAACATGAAGAAGAAATCTAGAAATTCAATTTGCTGCTAGAAAATTTTATTTAAATCATGTAAAATCAATTGATTATAAACTGCAAATTGAAAGAACACTAAAAGAACCGTATGAGAAATCAAATTGAAGGACAAAAGGTAAAGAAAATTTTCAAGGTTCAATAAAAAAAAATATACAAATTGAAACTACCAGCAAATCTAGAAACCAAACTTAAAGCTACTAATCTAGATCTAAATGATGCAAAATTATAGAACATGAATTGGAATATAAGAAAACATTTAAATAACTAAAAGACAAACTAATTTGAAGACCAAAAATTGAAAGAAAACGCAAGAACTAACTAACGAAAACTAAAACAGAAACTGAGTTGCAACCGAATTTCACTAAGTCAATGAGAGAAAAATTCAGATCTGGAAACTTCTAAAAAAAATGAAGTGGAAATGAGCTAAGGTAAGAGTCATCAACAAGTTTACCACAAAATTCAGTAAGAAAATTGCATCACACAAGAAAAGATTCAGCTCATTGAACTAGCAACTCAAACAGTAAACAAATCTCTAAAAAAAAAAACAGAACATGTGTGAAGAAATCTATCCAAACAGTGGGTAAATTCATGATAATAAATGCAATCAATTGAAAATTATCAAGTAAACATGTAAATTTAAGCGTGTGAAGTGTAAAAGATGCAAACCAAATGCCTAGATGGAAAATAAATCCTTACAATATTGTCACTAATGCAAAACTCATCTTTGCCATCTTGATTGAGCTGGGACTTTGAAGTTTGATTTGGAACTCTGTGATTGGAATTTGAAGCTAATTTTTTCCCAGAATTATAGATTTATGAGTTGAGAATCTAGGGAAAAACTTTTAGCTCAAATCAAGCTTGAATTCATCAAGTTTAGGTCAAAAAACTGTAGAGAGGTCAGAGCAGCAAATTGAAAAACAGATTTGATGAACTTGTGAGATCATTGGAAATTGAAGACAAAAATGTGAGAATTTGGAATTTTCATTTAGAAAATATGAAAGCACATTGAAAAGGAGTGAAGGAAAGTAAATTAGCAAAGAAAATCAATAAAGAAAATGTCAACCAAGGTTGTTTACATAGCAAGAAAATGTAAATGGAGAAAGTAAATGCATAAACCTAGAAAAAATAAAATCTAAAAATCTAGCCTAAAGTTTCCAAATAACCGGCCTCTACCATCTATTTATATGCAAATGGGAGGTGCCTCAACCCCCAAAATATCTGCAAAAATATCTAAGTATGGACATTCTTCTAGATCCTTCTTCCTCTCTTCCTTCCTAGCCTTTCCATACTTGTTTGGCTCCTTAAACTCTCCTTGCTTTCAAGCCATCTTCCCATGCTCCATTGCACTCCAAGAAGTCAAAAGTATGACTAATGGGAGACTTTTAATTAGCCAACTTAGCAACTCCTCATGGTTTTCTTTGAATCACCAAAGTGGGGCTATACAGCATGTGGTTGCATGAAGCTTGCATACATGGCACTATTGCAATTTTGCCTTCTCCCTTTTGGTGCAAAATGCACGAGTTTAAGCTCTTATTTTTCTGCCACAATTCAAGCCATAAAATGAACAAATTTGACATATAATGCTTGGAAAAATTCTGAAAATTTATTAACTAAGAATGAACTTCCAACTCCATAATACACCCATTACATTCCAAGCATGTATAAAGATACTAGAAAAATACCAATGCATAATTGAGCTAAGGAAGACAATTTCGAATAGAAATTATGAGAATTGAGATTTAAAATAAAGTTCCATGAAGTTCATTTAAGCTTAAGAAGTCATAGAAGAAAAGGATAAGAAGAACTCCTTTAGAAAGCAACATAGCACAATTACACTAGTTGTAACCTTTGCTAGCTTTTAGCACCATAAATCTTTCAAATTAAGTTTAAATACTCCAAAATTCCTCATTTTCTATATTTTCACCTACACATGAGACAATTATGCATTTTGGAGTATTTTTGTTAAAATTCTTAATGAATAAGCCAAAATAAAAGAGAAATTGCACTAAAAATAAATATAAAAAGACAAATTTAAGTGCAATTAGAAATAGGGCTCTGCGCCTAAGCAGGAGCTAGGACCTCTAGTACGTCAGAGGAAGAAGAAGGTGAAGAGAAGCTAGAAGACCCCTTAGGCTCAAAATTGAGCTAGAGTTAGGCTTTCAGCTCGACTTAGAAGGTCATCAGGAAAAAATAAACAAGTAAGAAAGGTGAGGACAAGGAAGGAGAGTAGAAAAAGACGAAGAAAGATTAGCCAGAGGAGTTAGATTGATATTTAGCATTTGGGCTAAAGGATTTTGGATCTTAGAATCTAATATAGCAATAAGCTCATCCATCCAATGATAAACCTGCTTTCCCCTTGTGCGAGCATTGTTTTCAATTTGTTTTTGGCCCTTAGCAAACATTGAATTTAATCAAAAAGCAACTCAGCTATAATCCCTTTTTATAAAAGGGACTTCATCATTTGAGGATAAATCTTGACGGCCGAGCTGACTTCCCTTTACTTCAATCCTAAAATTTTCAAACATGTTAGAATTAAAAGACATAAAAAAAAGGATAAAAGATGTATCGAAGAGTTGGAAAAAGGATGAGATAGGTTAAAACAAGGTTAGAAGTATTGGAAGTCGGTTAAATTAGGTTAGCTCGAGAGCTAAAAGGCTGTAATGTGAGAAATTGAGGCCCTAGAGGACCTTTTATATAACAAACACGAAGATTAAGTAAATGTTCCAGATTATGCAATGTAGCCAAAACAGTTACTGAGGATAACCTTTTACATTCTTAGTTTTAATTCATTTTATTGCCTAATTTTCTTTCTCCTAATTAAATGCAAAAAAGGCACACTGATCATTTCAGTAAAAACCATTCATATCGACCAAACACCTGTAACATATCAAATCAACCATGTACTAATACAAAAGAAATTCAAAAACAACAAAAAAGCATAAGTCTCACCTTGATCATCATAATAATGGGTTAGCAAATTATAACCAGACTTGATGTCAGATGTACAAAACACGTAGGCAACTGCCCATAAAACTACCTGATCTGATCTTCATTCATATCGACAGCCTTAGTCATTCACCTCAATGACTTCATATTAGATCAACTGAATAAAGCTCTTAAAGTTCACACTCGTGAATTTAAGCTTGGCATCATCGAGCACATATCAGATCGGCTCAAACAATGCTCGTCAGTCTCATACTCAGATTGCTCGATGGAAGATAAATTGTTAGGGGCATTTTTAGGTTTAAAGGGAAAAATAGCTTTTTTTCCCCATTAAAAATTATCAGCGATAGCTAGTGGCATTTTTTACTTTTGCGCCAAACTAACATGTCAGGTCGACCTGATTTCATGAGATCACGTTTGCTCGACCACTTTATCAATCTACCTAAATGGCCCCTTTAAATACTGACATGTCATCCTTGGAATGGATGGTCAACGTTCAGGTCAGCTCAATTTGCCAGGCCATTCTAAGCCTTAAGGCTAACCTTAGGCAACCTAGCTACCCACGTCCTCTTTCTTTACAAGTATAAATAGGATCATCCATGTACCATTTTACTATCTTGTTTTTCTTTTGCTTTCCTTATATTCTCCTTCCTATTATTTTTTTCTACTAATCTCTGACTTGAGTGTTGGAATACAAATGTTAGGACCACTCCTAGCTTTTGTCTTTAACTGTTCTCTTTCTCTTTCTTCTTGATTTCAAGGTTTTACCCCTTGAAGACAATTTGACACAAACATAGGCAACTAAAATCATGTGTTTAATTAATTAACCAACAACATAGAAGCTTGTTTTAAGCTATTATAAAAATAAGTGTAGCAAGGCTTGTGCCTAATTCAAAAAGAGTACATAAATAAATATATAATGTACACATGCACTAATTAAACATTTTAATTTATATATTAATTAATTAATGCTACAATTTCATTTGAAATAGAAATTCATATCTTAATCATAATTTTTTTACCAATAAGGTCACAATTTAGGAATAAGCAAAGAGATTACAAATGTTAAAATTTGAATTTTAAATTTGCTACATACGAATTTTTAAAAAAATAATTATATGAATCAATTAAAATAAACTTCAAATTTCTTAATCATATTATTATTCTAATTATTATTTGCAAAATTGAGACAGTAAAATGCTTGAGCTTTCACTAATAATCTCAGCTCTCCTTTTCCTTTCCCTTTCTCCTCCAACTTCCAACCTTACTCCAAATAGCTTTGGACTACTCTCATCTTCTTTTTCTTTCTCAAACTGTGCATGCTTAACCACCAAGTTAAGAAGCTCCTTGCATTTCCGTTTTATGCTTGTCAACTCTGAGCTCAATATCTCGTTTTTCTTCTTGAGATGATTGTTTTCATCGACTAGGCTATTGTATCCTGAAGACAAAGAAATTGACGAAAATCTCTCATGATCTTCATCAGAATCCTTTGGTGACACTTGAATAATTGCTGCAGTTCTTTGTTGCTTATTGGACCTTGCTTTTTTTCTTCGGATATTGCAAAGTAGCTTTCTTTCACCCTTTCGAAACATATCATTGCAAAATTCCCACCGGCCAGTTGCAACTTTCCGAAATCCCTATAAATGTATGCAAGATAAAAAAATTCACTTGATTAAATAAGAGTTGATATACAATACGTTATTAGTGTATAGATTTATAAACTATCAGTAAATAATGTAATAAGATTTTATAAAATTTAATCTTAAAATGTAAATACATTTATTGATTATATTTAAAGTTTATATATGATGTATTATCAGCATATAAAGTTTAGAGAAAACTTCACAAACACCCCTTATTATTTGCAAATTTTCCCATACAACCTCTCTGATTTTTTTTTTCACTTATAGCCTTGTGATTTTCTTTTGTTACCAAAGGGGAGTAACAACGTTAAAAATCAAGTAGATTTCACTAAAATTACAAAATTACTCTCACTCTTATTTTTAATGCTATTATCTCTTCTAGTAACGAAAGTGAACTACAAAGTTATAAGTGAAACAAAATTCCATGAAAGGTGTAAATGGAAAAGTCACAAAACATAGAGTGTATATAAAGTTTATCCTAAATTTTACATATTATCAATGAATCAAATGATACTATCTTATTAATAAATAAATATAAATTTTTATAAATCTTTAAAATAAATACACAAAAACTTTTTTTAAAAATTTTTATTAATGAGATGATATTATTTAGTTCATTGATAGTATATAAAACTTGTATACTTACATTGTATTAAATATAAACTCATATATTTAACTTTAAAAATATATTTAAAATTAATTTTTTATAAAATATCTGTATTCATTGATAATATATAATATCTATATATACAAAGTGAATCAAATATAAATCCTAAATATAATGCTACTTGAATTTATATATATCTTTTGCCAAAAAATTATATATACAAAAGAGAGATCAACTTATACAATATAAAATTTTTTAATTTTACATATTTTTAATCATTAGTTTTAATAAATTTAAAAAATGAAATTAAGATTTCATTTGGATGCTCAATGGAATGCCTAATGATCTCCAGTTGGTTGTGATTAAATTAATCATCCATTTGGCACATTATTTCAATAGAGATTAGATGTTTTTTAGCTGGACTGAAGCTATATGTAGCCGCTGGTACTTCTTCTAGTCAGACTTTTAATTCTCATTGCGCTTTTTTTTGTCCTTACTGTCCCTGTTTTTATTTTTTTGCCCTTTTTCTCCTTGGATTACAATGAATGGTTGGATATATTCTGCATCCCATTTTCCTTCCAGCTTTGACTAGTCACCTATCGTTTTATTTATTATTATTTTAATTTTTAATTTAAAGTTTTTTAAATTAATTTATTATAATTATTTATCATATCATGTATATAATTATTTAATTAATTAATTAATAGTTAAAATAATAAATGCAAAAAAAAAATCAATTTTATAATCAAATAGATTATTAGTGAATGAAAAAAATAGATAATTATATAAATAATAATGTAAATAATTATTAATTTCTTTTTTAAAATGTATAAATATATTAATATTTTTTTAAAATTTATTATTTTGAAATAAAAATAATCATCTATTATAAATTTTATTATATTTCAATTTTAATCTATTGACTTTAATAATAATTTTCTATTTTCACTACACTTAATCTCATCACTATTGTTACATTTGCATCTAAACATATATCTTATAATTAATTTTAATCTCATTATTACAATATTCAATCTTACCGTTATGATAACTAATCTCATAATCATAATTATGTAAAAATCACTAGAGTTAATCTCACTATTCATCCAAATGGATCCTATACTATTTTTTTACTTATTTCTTTTATCTTTTAAATTTATTAAAATCAAAGGTTAAAAAATTATATCATATGAATAGATTCCTCCTCATTTATATATACATATATATTTATATATTCCCTTTGATATGGAAAATAAAAAATAAATCAATGAAACTAAAATTTTGGTTCAAATTAAAACATTTATATTCCCTTTTTTTTTGTTTGTTAATTTTTTGTGTACTGTTCTTTGACAAGAAAATTATTTGGAAAACCTAGGAATTACAGTAAAACACAGGCCTAAATATATATGATTTAATTATAAGAATTAAGCATTGACCTCAGTTGTTCTTGACTAGTAAAAGTATATCAGCCATAACACGTTTTGATTTTATTTTATTACGATAAATTCCGCACTTTAGCCATAAAATATAAAATCTGATAAACATAGACATGTTTAGTCCAGGTCATATGAGGCCACTAACGTTATGACTTCTCTTTCTCTCTTAACTTTTTATATATTAATTCTTCTAAAAAAAAAAAAGGGAAAAACCATGTAAAACTCTGACTTTTTCTAAGTATATAAATATTATAAGGTCAAAATTTGAAATATATATATATAAGTTTGGTGAGAATGCATTAACAATATGTATATTTTGGATTCAAAACAAAAAGAAAACTATATTTTGATAACCAAGTAAACTTAACCAAAACAACAAAAATTTATGATATTGAATTTTATTATAAACGACAAAAAAAAAAATGGTTGCAATGATATTATTGACATCTACTTACATAAGTATTAAGCTGCCGGACGAAGCTAGAGAAGTTGCTGTGCTTGAAAAGTGTTGGGAGGAGATCACGAGCAAACTCCGGTGGCTGCCACACCACGAACCCTGTCCCATCCGCGTTCCACGATACAACGTCGTCGGTGGTCGGATCCTCCACCAGCATATAAGTCTTCAACAAAAATGGTGGTGGTGTTGATTTCCTAACATATTCTAAAAACCCCTTATTATTATTATTATTATTATTATTATTATTATTATTATTGTTGTTGTTGTTATTATTATTATTGTTATTATTACTATGATAACTAGCCATAGAAAGTGATGTAAAGAGAGAAATTAAAGGGAAATATTTGGGTGAAGAAGAAGAAGAAGAGATTCAATTAGGATAAGGGGAGAAGAGAAGAAGGGCAGTTAAGAACTCCCAACCCCAACAATAGAAACCCAACACGACTCCACAGTTCATGAGAAATGCAAGGGCTTTTCCTTTCTCCTTTCTTTCCTTTTCTCTCCAAAACAAATATATAGTTGAAACGTAGGTTCAAAGCCTACCCCTTCTTATATAGTACTCTTGGAAGATTAATAAGTCATTGATTAATTTCACATCATCATATTATATGATTTAATTTATCATAATATTTAATGAAATGAATTACATACACACACATATATATATATATAAGCATTATTGTTTGTGGGTCCATTTGTTTCTATGGAGCTTACTTTTGGGCCATCCGATCAATAGAATTAATTAACAAAGATTTGAGGTGTCTAGCAATAGGATTAATTTCAGTTTGACCCGTCAAGGAACAACAAAAATTCCACCATCACCACATTTATATATGATTAAACAAAAAAAAAAGCTTTAAATTAGTTGCTCCTAATTATTTTCTTTTTTTTTTAAATTTATTGTCAATAATTAAGGTTTTCCTAAATTAAGAGATATCCTAACAATACAAATTTGAGAGTTTAATTTAGAAATCTCGAATTCAAATATTGAGTGAGGAAAAGGTGCACATTACAAAATAAAATGAGGATTTTTTTTCGTTTAATCCAGAATTATATGCAATAAATACTAAGGTTTAAAAAGTGAATTCCACATTAAAAAAATATGGATGTGATATAATCGATACATGAAATACAATTTCGACTTATATATATATATATAGATATATTTTTTGATTAAAAACATATGGATATATATATATATATAAGATCAATCATCTATCACAAATTCAGAACTGTTTTAAATGGATTAAGTTAATTTGTAAGAATGAAAAGATGAGATTGGCGAAGAAGAGGGAAGAGTCTAGGGGTAACCTTAGAGTAACATATTCTCCAAGATAGAAAATAATATATTTAGTTTAGTTAGTTTAGGTGTGCGGATACTTTCCAAATTCTTTGTACCTAATTTTATATCTATGATATGACGTGCAAATCCCTCTATCTAAATTTTCTCTCATTGTTGATTTTTGTTTCTGCTTCTTCTGTCATTGATCGAGTTTTCAAGCTAAGAAGTGACTTTTATATTTTTTTTGGACTTTGTGGTATTTCCTGTCTTATTTTCTCTGTTTAACCCACTTGCTTTATAAGGCAACATGTTTAACACGCTCCAATAAAAGAGACAATTAAATTGGACCAGTGCTGGTAAATGGTGAAAGAAACAGGGAATAATGCATGGGCGAAATTTTTTTAAAAAATTGCCGACAATTGTTTTTAGGTATTTTTACTGTTAATTAAGTTATTATTTATAAAATACTTTATATTAAAGATAATAACCAATAGTTAATTTGATGAATTTTAATTGGTTAAATTCAATATAAATAAATTTATTTAAATTAACTTTTAAAAAAATATTAAATAAAACTAAAAGAACTCTTACCTTTAAAAAAAACAAAATTTCAAAATGAGATTTATCTGATTCTACTAATTTTATGGTTTCTTTTAGTTAATAATTATATCATTTATTAAGAAATCAACAACTTCCCCATGAAAGCTGGGTTAGTCAATCACTTCGACAAGTTTACCAAACATTGCAACTAGTTTCATTGTTAAGTTTGGAAATCTACATGCTCCTATTAGGAGCGCGCGGTTACACGCATCTATTGAATTGGTGAGACACATATTGGTCGCTTTGTAATTTGGTTGGGCAGCTGTGCTTTCTTGACTTGATTTTAGTTTTTAATTAATTTATTTTTTAAAAAAATAAAGATTTTATGTGTTTATAATTTTTTTCTCATGTTCCGGTTTTTGTCACCACCAACCACAGCTTTTGCTTTCCCATTTGATTCAAAATGAGCTGTAAGAGTAATTGTGGCAGCAGGCAGCTCGACAATTCCAAATTTGCATTTGGATAACTCTTACCAGGGGGCAGATAAATACTAATACAATGGGCATGGTTTTTTTTTTTTTTTTGGTAATGCACCCACCCTTCGGCCTGCCCATAGTAGGAGAAGTAAAGCACGATGGGTTTAATCCATGGGAATGTCATTGCTGGGAAGGTGATGGCTGGGGATTAGAGTTTGATTCTTATAGAAAATATTGTGGAAGTAAAATCTTAAATGGATAAGATAGATGTAAGGGAGTGTACTCTTAAAATCGTTTCAAAAATCTAAATTCAAGCAAAATCCAATTATACTTTCGGTCATGTCAAAAAAAAAATACAAAAAAAGCACTGTTACGATTAGTACCCATGTGAAAGTTTAGTAAAAACTTGATAAAGATAATCTTGTTATGTTTGGTGAAACTCTCCACACAAAGGTGAATACTTGAGCCAATTGATCAAAATTGTAGACCCAAAATTGAACATTTGTATTTTCTTTAGGACTCTTAAAATCATACCCTGTTTCTATTTTTTTTTTTAACGAGAATACTCAAAAAAAAACTCTTACCTTATATATCCTACATTAAATTTTCTATATTTTTAAGATTTTGGCAATATAAATTATTAAACATTTATATAAAATTTTAATGTAAAATCATTTAAGTTAAATTAGAAATTTGAAAATTTGCAAGCATGTCAAACGCATATGACCAATACTATGAAGCCCAAAGCAGCAAGAAGGCAGAAATATGTCCTGCAAGTTGTCGGAAGACGTGCCTAATCAGACTCTTCCAATCCACGTCTTTGATGGTTTCTCTCATCAGGAAACGCAGTATGATATTATATTAAATTTAGTGATCAATTATATCTAAAAAAATTTAAACTAATATAGGAAATAACCTGGCTACTATATTTTTTTGGGGGGTCATATAAAGAACATTTTAATGCTCTATAAAACTTGGAAAATGTGGATTAAAGTGTCTAATAGCTACTATTTAACTTGGAAAATTTTTGAATATATGAACAGTGATTGTAAATGTGAAATAAACTCAATTGTTCTATTGTTCTTGTGCCCCTTTTTTGTCTCCCAATTTGATTATGAAGCTTTAAATAAAATCAAGGAAAAAAAAAAAAAGAAGCAGAGATAACCGCTCTATTTGTCCAATATTGATGATCGAAATAATGCTATTTCTTTTTTTTGCACAAACAATATATTTTTCTATTTTTATAAATGAAATAGTTGCTACTTGTAACTAATTAGAGAAAAAAAATGAGATTTTGTTTGCCTTGAAAAAAGAAAAAATAATGAAAACTTTATCATTTATGTTTTATAATAAGGTTTAAAGTTTATTTATACAGAGATAAACTGTTATAAAATAGAAAACACAATAAATAAAAATAATTACTAAATCAATTTCTATAATCACCTAATCAATATCTAAATTAATATTAAATCAATATCTAATATTTTCTAAATCAATATCAAATCAATCTAGAATATTATTGAAATATTACAAGAATAATACCATTAATCTAAAATATTATCAAAATATTACTAGAATATTACAAGAATAATATCATTAATCTAGAATATTACCAGAATATTACCAAAATATTACTAAAATATCATTGACAACCCACAGCAAACTCAAGATGATAATGTAGAGGCCAACTTGAATTTGAAAACTTGGACAAGAAATTGACCAAATGGATGTGATTTGGTGAAGATATCTGTTTTTTGATCAGCACTGGTAATAAGAACAAGTTGAAAAGTTTGAGCAAGCAGATGTTGACGAATGAAGTGATAGTCAATTTAAATATGTTTAGTACGCTAATGAAAAACATCATTGCAAGCTATCTGAATGACACTTTGATTGTAACAAAATATAATAGTACTAAATTGATGAGAAACAGTCATATCTTGAAGTAGCCATCGTAACCATAAAAGTTCTAATGTAACATCTGCAAGATTTCGATACTTAGCTTCAGTGCTAGAGTAGGACACCACGGTTTGTTTTTTACTTCGCCAAGAAATAAGAGAAAAACCAAGAAAGAAATAATAGCTTATGGTAGAACAACGATCAGTAGGATCTCCTGCCCAATTAGTATCACAATAACAATGTAAGTCCAAAAAGAAACTAAAGGAAAAATACAAACCATGGAACATAGTACCCTTGACATATAATAGGATCTAGATGATAACAGCAAAATGAGTCTATTGAGGAACAGATAGAAATTAACTAACTAGATAAATAGCATAAGCAATATCTAGATGAATAACTATCAAATATACGAGACTATCTATCAAAGTTCAATACAAAGAAGGGTTTGGAGTGGTGTACCATTAGAAAGAGAAAGCTTCAAATTCTGTTCAAGTGGTAATGATGCAATCTTGCTATCAATTAAACCTACTCTAGTAATAAGATCAGAAGCATACTTTGTTTGAGATAAATGTAAACTAGTATAATCATTAGTGTCTTTAAGGCCTTAAAAATAACTCAAAGGATCAAGATATTTCATTTCAAACTTTGAATGAAGAAAAGTCTTAAGATCTTGAATACCATTTGCATCATTACCCGTAATGATCATGTCATCCCCATGAAGTAAGAGAAGAGTAGTACCATTTTTAGTTGTTTTAGTAAAAAAGGTAAAATCATGATTACTAGATGAAAATCCAAGTTATGCAACAGTGGTATTAAACTTTGAGAATCAAGTTCTAAGGGCTTGCTTAAGATTATATAAAACACATCAAAGAAGACAAATCACGTTGGAAGGTACAAATGAACTAGGAGGTGGCTTCATATAGACTTTTTTGGTGAGATCACCATTCAAGAAGGCATTTTTAATATCTATTTGAAAGGTTGGTCACTTTCTAGCTGCAGCAACAGTTAATAGTAAACAAACAGATG